TAAAGGGAAAACAAAAAGTGGACCGTTAGTGTGTATGTTACCATGACTATTTATTCTGATGCCACGTGAAGGCCGGCCACAGACACAACGTGCCTCACAGAGGAAAACTAAACATTACAAAAACATTTTAAACGTATAAAATTCAATATCTGCACTAAAACTGTGTGAAATCAGATTTATGATGCAGAAAACGCAGATAACCAGTTTTTCTTGTTCCCATGCTACCACTAGGGGGTGCCAAATTTAAAGGACTCCAAATCAATACACTGCCTTTGAAATCTCATCAAGCTGTGTTTTATTGTCATCAGGTTTCATGTCATGGTCCTGGGTCGGTGTTTACTATTATTGTTTTCTAGTTTCTGCTGTGTTGTATTTGTTCTTAGAGTCGTGTGTTTAGTGTCCCGATCATCCCTACCTGTGTCTTTCTCTGTGTTCTGCCCCCGAGTTGGTTTTGTAAAACAGTCTGTGACTTTCCCGTTCTAGGTTTGTCTCGTTATGCCCATTCGTTCCAGCTGCGTCCCCTCCTGTGTGCCATTTCCTGATTACCTGGTGTATTTATACGGTGTGTCTGCCCGCGCTCCTCGTCGCGTCGTTAACGTCAGTTCACCCTCATGCTGTGTGGAGCTCCCTGAGTTTATGTTGTTTCCCAGTTTAGTTTGTTTTCCCGTGCCAGCAAATAAAGCTGAGTATTTGGAGTTCATCCCTCGAGTCTGAGTCCTGCATTTTGAGTTTTTGTTTTTGTCTGGATATCCTAAACTGCTGCAACACACATAGTGTGGAAAAAACAAAGCCAGGAGCACTGAAGGTGCAATCAAGCTCTTTAACTATGGTGTAGACACGAAAAGAAGTGGAGCAGTAGTGTGTAAAAGTATGTGAACAGCACTGTGGAGAGAAACACAGCCAGACAGGATTCTCCAATGCTGGAGAATGGAGAACAAGGGTGATGTGAGGAACAACTAGAAGGTCAGTAAGAATCTCACTGCATCCAAGAGAAGAACTGTGGTGGAGAACGTGACAGAAGTACGTGACAGTGGTGCATGAAATGCATTCGGACAGCAAGACAGTTGTGAGATGGGTTCAAGGTGGAGATGGTTTTACATCAGGCAGCTCTGAGCCTTTTCTTGTTTGCAGTGCAGATAGACAGATGAGCTCCGGTAGGAGTTTTCCTAAGCAAGATGTTTGCACACATCACTGTGAATGAGAGTGGGCAGGTGGACGAGAGCTGAAGGTATACACTGGAGAGAAGACGAATGAAAATCTGTAGAAACAAAACAGAATATATGTGTGAATGAGACAGGTGGAAACAAACATGTGCAGAGGAGGGTTAGAGGATAGGCTGGACAAAGTATGTTCAACATGGAGCCTCCAGGCAGAAGGAAACAAAGAGGAGCTCAGTGGAGGTTCATTAAGGTGGATGTTCAAAGGGTGGCTGTGACAGAGGAGGATCCAGGGATACACTGTAACTGTGTGTAACTGTATTGTTGCAGTTTTACTGTGGAACAGGTGTCTGATGTAAATGAGACCTTGAGTCTCAGTGGGCTGAAGGTAATGAAGGTTAGATAAATAAAATGGAAACAGATGATCTGCTGTGGCGGCAAATACAACAAGAACCCAGAAGAAGCGTGCTAAGCAGCAGACACTCGAATTTCATTTCACCAGATCTGAAGTAAAAAGTCCTCGTAGGTCATAACATAATATACTTTTACTCTGATAGCCCATTAGAAATGTTAGTAAAGGCACAGAAAGCAAAGCATGGCAGAAGTGCTGCACCAGGGAAACCAAAGAGGTCAAAGTGTTTTTCATCGCAGGCTGTAAATGCTGCAGTTTGTGGAACTTCATTTTTCCGCTCTGCATTTTGTCCTTGCAGTCTGTCTTTATTACATCACTGGACCTGTTTTCTTGTAAACTGAAGAAACAAACAGGCCC